TTAGAAATTTTTATAGAGGTTACCTTTTCTCTCTCCACAACAAATTATTCTCTCCCTCTTTCTACTTCTAGGACCACCTTCTTCCTCAACCCATTGATGTCTTTTTCCTCTCTCTTTATGTAACCACCATCTTGTCCTCTCCAAGCCATCATTCTTTTTTTTTTCCCAATGCATATCTCATGCTGAAACTTCTTATCCTTCTTGTCAACCTTTCTAATTTCAATATTACCACAGTAGTCCTTAGCCACCTTCTTTCCTTTATCCTTAATAGGAAAGTCTACTATGTCCTCAACACTTCTAAAGGTAATCACTACTGATCCCAATAAATCTTGATAAGAAATAGAAACGGTTGGGTTAGGCTTTGTCACATTCTTATTAGGAGCCCACATCTTCTTATTTTTTGAAACTAAAATGGCTGAATCCTTACTGAAAGATTGGACCTTTTCAAACTCAACATGTAGCCCACTCTTCCCCCCTGTAATGACATTTCCAGACTTCGTCATGGCCGGCCTCAGATGCTTCTGCTCACCATGATTATTCTTCTGATTTAGCTAAACATTGTTCTTGTACCTTTTAGACTCAACTTTCACCCAATTATCCGGAGCACTATCAAAACAAACCTTAATATCATCCTCATGAGGCTTAAAGACCTAAGCACGTTCAACTACAACATCAATGATAAAAAGCTCCTTATTGATATCAATACGAATCTTATTAGGCATAGACAAAACTTCCTCACCACGAATTGGAAACCTTTTTGCTCTCTTTGTATTATTTTTAGTGTGCAGGTCGTTGATGATGTAGCATATCCCCTCTTTTGCCATTTTTATCCTACAGACGTTTAAAGTCGTATAAAAGTATGATTGATTCCAACCCTTTGTAATGTTCTCAAAATCCTAGAGATAGGGATAGGGATAGAGAGAGAGAGACAGGCACGTTACGCTACCCGCCTCAATTTCCTCCCCTTCTCTTCTGTCTGTCGCCTGTCGGCATTGTTCAAAGTTCAAACTTTGAAAATCCTCCCCGAATCCATGCCCCTTTCTCTCTCGTTGACATCTTCTCTCACGGGGCGGGCCCCTCTCCCCTAAGCAGCCCTCTCCTTCACCCCCCATATGATATATAAAAGCAGCCCACCCACCCAACAACCAACCAAACAAACAAACAATCTCTCATGGCTTCTTCGTTTCGTTTGTGTTGTTGTGCGTTCCTTCTACTTCTCTGCTTCTCGGGAGCATGTAATGGCATCAGAAGCATCGGCACAGTAGATGAGATGCAAAAGCAGCTTATAAAGGTGGAGAACAATGAGAGGAGCCTTAGCTTCGAGATGAGGAAGAATGGCATGTTCAATTTCTTTCCCAAAGGTGTTCCCATACCTCCCTCTGGCCCCTCCAAGAACCATAACGAATTCCAGGGATAGAGAGAAGCTGATCACTAGCTTCAGCTTCTTTTCTGGATGCCAGCCAGGCTTGCTTTCTTCTTCTTTCTCAGTCTCCGAGTTTTTTTTTCCTTCAATTTAAGAGAGTTGTCCATTTTGTAAATTGCTGAACCAGTTTTGTTTTTGTCCAATTATTCTTTATTTATAAGTTTATATGTAGACTGGCCAGGAGTTCTGGTTCAATTCTTTAAATGAGATCCCAATACATTGCTGAATCATTTTTTGTTTTTGTTGATGTATATGTAGACAGGCCAGAAGCAATTCTTTTTTTAGTTCACGAGGAAGGTTGGTTAGAGAGAGAGAGAGAGAGAGAGAGAGAGAGATCCCAACTCTTTCTACTTCACATCACATTGATGGAATGGAGGTATGTAGAGAGAGAGAGAGAGAGAGAGAGAGTAGAGTAAGTAAGTAAGTAAGTAAGTAACGTTAAGTACGTTAACGTAACGTACGTACGTACGTACGTACGTCGTACGTACGTACGTCGTCGTCGT